GCTGGGCCGCCGAGTGGTCCCAAACCTAGGTTGCATCCCGTACCACGAAGAGTGGATGATGGAATGTCAAACAATCCACTCGGAAAAAAATCACTCGACTGATTCAAACCCAAACGGTTGCCTGCTGAACGTGCCAGTGCGACTCCGCATTGGCCATCCAAATTCTGGAAACCACCGGATCGATGTGCCGATGGAAGTGTGGGAGAACCAAGCAAACAGAAGCGGTCAAACAAGCATGCTTCTGCAAACACCAGAGTCAGTGTCGCGGGGTGGGCGGGGTAAACAGGAGAAGAACAACAAACATGAGATAACCACAAGGAATAGCAACGGGGAAGCCGGAAAGGGCTCCTTTGGCAACAAGTTCAAGGAGATCCTATGCGCCCTCCTTTCAGACACACCTTACAGCCTGGCCTTCGGGTTGGCCCCAAATGCAGGTGGCGAGCGGAAATGTTGCAACTGGCCGCTGTGGGAAAAAAAAAAGCTCAGGTGATATCCCCAACAGCATGCGGTGGTCTTTTTAGTGCTCGCACCACCCCGCAGCCCTCGCAGAATCTCGTGGAACCCTGGTGGAACCCTGGTGGAACCCTGGGGGAACCCTGGTGGAACCCTGGGGGAAGCCTGGTGGAACCCTCGTGAAACCTTACAGGGCCGCCCCGGACCACCCCGGAGCCTATCTGGGCTGAGACCCCAAAGCTTTCAGCAGTTGGGGAAAAAACAAAACATGAGGTAACCACCCAAGATGGAATCTTAGATGGAAAAGGGTGACTCTTTTTTGACCCACACGCCAGACATGGCCTCCAAAGGGCCACATGCAGCGGCAACCTGAGCCAAGAGGGTCGACGAATTGGGCCCATGGGAAACCAACTGGAAACAGGGCTGTGGTTGAAATGACTTCTGTGATACAACAACAAAAGGACCTAAGACACGAACCCCCCCCAAAAGGGGGAAAAGAAAAAAGGAAGAAGAGGGGATTCCCTTGCATCACAGTGGGGACACACCCTGAGTGATCCCGCACGGAAAAACCAACATCCAACACCCCCGCAACCCCCCCCCACTCAGTTCTTTTCAGACGAACCCCCCCCCCAAAAAGAATAAAAAGAAAGAAAGAAAGGGCACGCAGTTCAGACCTTCACACCTCCCGTACTGCAATTGCGTGACTTCACTCCGAATGGCCGAAATTCAAGCCGCGGCCGCGGGAGACTTCTGCCCGAAGTTCCCCAATACGTGTTGGGACTGATGATATTGAAGGAGCCGTTGCTGTGGTTCCTCTATCTAGAATCCAGGCTTAGAGGTTCCCTGACACACTCAGTCATCTTGACTGCGTCTCCAAATCCCTGCAAAGGGGGTGCAGGGTGGGATGCTCAGTTCCACTACCGACTGAACCATACAAATTTCAGGGTCATCCCGATATGCCAGGCGCGATGTGAGCACCAGCCCTTCATCTGAGCGGCATGTGTGGACAAAGTTGGCCGTCGTCATGATGCATGACCACAGATACAGGGGAGACGCTCGGATAGAAATGCCTCTGCCGTTGCTTGCGCCTTAGACCCTGCTGAGTGAGTCCAATCTGAGGAACTTCCCAAGTCCAAATGCTGTGCTTCCGCTAGGCTGTATGTGCATGAAGTCAGAGCTGAAGCCAAGGCGGCACGGGCCTGACCCAAATGCAGGCTTGAAACCCGCAGGTTCTGCTCCCGAAATATTGCCCGTGATCTCTGTCAGATCTGCTACAAGTTTAACTTGTTGAATGGAAACCCAAACCACTCAAACCTGAAAACCTGCTAAGGAACCGGATAGCTGGGAACCGCCAAGTGATGAGTAACCCACCAAGCTCTCATGATGGACTGGGGCCACCTTCTCAAGGGGAACCAGGCCGGCCTGACTTCTGAAGAAAGGCTCACACAACCGCGAACGCAGCTCGCGTAGCGGGGTATGCTTCACACTAAACCCAGGGAGAAGCATCCCCTTAATAAACTTGTTGGTTGATTATTGTGAGGTCAACATTATTCATGCGTGACACGAATTTGCTTGCCTTCCATCTGCCTTTGCCCGAGACCAACGGGACCGAGTCCTGTCGCATGATGCAAATGTAAGCCACTGCATCACGAGGACTACTTGAGGTTCTGGGTGTCTGTTCTTGAGGGTACCCTTTTGGGGTGGTTTCAAAGGGAAACCAAAAGGATCACCATTCGGCTATTTTGACACATACCCATTTGATGAGAGGTTTTGGTCGCCCAAGCTTTGGAGCCACGGAAGCCTGCTGTGTTGATGTTTCCCTGTATCTTCATTCGTGGCAGGTCTGCTTTCGCTGAGCATGTGTCATTTCACGGAACCTGATGTGCTTTGCCAGATTCATCCACACATGCCTCTTTTTCTGAAATGAAAATCTGCACCAGGACCCATTCCAGCATTGCAGGAAAGAGCGTGTGCTGAAAATCAGCGAATCTATGCTGCTGACAACGTTGGCACTTGCCCTCACTATTCTGCGAGGCCACCAATCGAGCTCACAACAGCCAGTGCTTATGAAAATAAGTTACAAAGTGCCTGAGGCGCTGTTGCCACAGCAACCTCCGTGAAAGCATATCATTCGCGCTACGGAAGCGTCACTTGTCGCTGGCCTGGAAACACTCGGGACTTCTCGAGGCTCGAGGTTGGGGTTCTTCCAACTGCCAAGCCCCCTGTAGTCTTGTAGTCTGTTTGGAAAAGATACATGGCGCCTGGAAAAACTTGGGAGGATCGAGGTGTGCGGTTTGGGTTCTTCCAAAGCTCCCACCCCCTGGCACTGAGACGGGTGGTTTAGTTAGAGCCAAACCGAAGTCTGCGCCATCCTAAGAGGTGCCCAACTGCCCAGCCGCTTCAAAAGCGGCGAAAACAGGGGCAGCCTGGGACGAGGACAGCTTGCACATGCAAAAAAGCTCGGTCTAAGCAAAGAACATCTCCAGGTAGCAGTTCCGGAACCGATTGAAACAAGTCGGCTCCGACTTGTGGGTCCGGAGAAAAGTCACCAGATCAGACATGTCTCAAGTACAAATCAACCAGAAAGCCATGTTTTTCGCCGCATTCCGAAGTTGGAACTGGCTTGAACACGCCGAATCCACTGTCCTGACTCGGGAGCTTCTCAAATGGAAACATTTGTCGACCCCGAGGCCTTGGAGTCATAGAAACACGAAGGCGGCGAATTTGGATTGGGTTCGCGACTTTCCTTGCTTTGTCGATTAATTAAGGAGTGGATGTCCGTGGGGAATTGAATTTGCAAACTTGATTGGCCCTGGTTTTGAACGATTTTTCAGGAATCGATGTCCATTTTGGCATTGATTGGGCAAAATCAGGATCACTCGTGGGATTCCTAAAGATAAAAGACAGCCATGTTCCAGCTTGAGCTTTGCTTGAAGGTGGCGCGAAGTCCCATGGAGGCATGGCCCACACTTTGGCAAAGTTGAGCATCACTTCCAAAAAGTCCGAAGCCATTGCAGCCGAGAGACTCTGATCAGCAAGGCCAGTAAGGAATACTAGGGGCCATTCCCTTCCCATGGCTTGCGAGTTGGCTCTAAATCACGTGCACATCTCAGATGCACATCCATTGGCGTTTTATTCCATACACGTCCAGGTAAGACCGAACCCTCCGTTGCCCCCTTAACGCTCGCCGAAACAAAGGGTCGCGCCAGCGCCATGTTCAACTGTGTGTGTGTGTGTGTGCATTTTGCTGGTCCACAGTCAAAGAGGTATAAACCTGTTCAATCCCCCATGAAGAGTGAACTAGGAAAGCACGTGTTTTCACGTCTTACAGCAGTGTACAAGAAAAGGGCATCCGATTCTTTAAAGCCCGATCCTGGCCGAGCTTGATCTGCACGTCGATCTCTTGATACCTAAGTTCGTTGCAAAACGCCGTCCAATGCCACCAAAGGCTGGCTGCTCAGCTCTCCGGGACCGGCCGCCGGGAGATAGCTCATTTCCGAAACAGAAAACGAGCCCAGCCAAAGAACAAGGTCACGGCGGCGTTAGCGACCGTTTCGGCCCCGCAACACCGTCATTGCATCGGTCAAAGCCAAACCTATGGCAATTGCCAGTGCGATTGCAAGAGTGGCAAATTGAGACATTGTCGTTCTTGCCTGTCTGAGCGGCTCTTCTGCTCACACAAGTTGAAGACTACGCCTGTCTGAGCTTCTTGTTCCTCTGTTGAACAGATCTATCAGCTCAAGCCAACGCAAGTTGACGCAAGAACAGCTGGGTTCTGGTGACTTGAACGTGTATATCGACTCAATCCAATGCAAGTTGACCATAACCACCGGTGGGTTCTGGTGGCTCTGACAAGCAACCTGCACACACAACAGACCTGTGGGCATGATGCCCAAGTGCCACAGTCAGCTCAAATGTCATTGCGCTTCGGTGTATGTCCGTCAATGCGAGTATGTGCGGTCAGTCTGTTTGCGCGAGAAAAGCGGCCTGTGCGCGCAAGGACGGTGTGTGCACAAAGGTTCCGGCACGCACGGCCGGCGTGCGCGTGCTGTGTCTGTGTCTGTGTGTGTGTGTCTGCATTGATGCAAAGTCAACATGTTTGAATACACCCAACCCACCCACCCCACCCCCCATCCCAAACCCCAAAAAGTCGCTTGAGAGCTCATGGTCGCTAATCATGCCGTGAGCTAAAAAAACAACCAGAGGGGTGCGGCTCAAAATGAAAGAGCTAAGGTTACGCAAGTTTTAGTCTTTGGTGCCACTTGGCTAAGATACATTTGTTTGAGCCACTGCCAGATCCGTTGGTGTTCTCGCCTCTCTTCAGCTTGGTATGGCTCGCACGAAAGCCGAATGGGTTCTTCAAGTCTTGCCTGGGCTGTCCTCAGATCCCCTGCTAAAAGTTTAACTTTTAGTGGGTTAAATGAGAAAATCCCCACTAAACACTAAAAAGCTACAAAGCTAAGGGGATGGCTAGGGGCCACAAAGTTGGCATGATTGACAGGCTCACGCCGGCATTGAAGTCTGATTGCATGCTAACAACCGTTCCACTATATCCCCAGACTTTGCGGAGGATTGTCTTGTTCCTTGCCAAACATGACACAACATCAAGCAATGAGCAGCCGGACCTTTCTGGCTGTGTAGCAAAACTGGGGACGCTGCTTACGGATGGTTTTCAGCACCTAGAATTGGTGGCATCTATTGTCGATTCCTGGGTTTTGAGCGGACTCCTTTGCATCGCGGGAAACGCCGAAAAAGCCCCCCAACCGCTTTAAGGTCCCCTGCACCGGGGTCCCAAAAAAAAATCGGGTAAAAACCTTCCCCCCTCCCCAAGTCCCCCAGTTTTTCCCCCCAGCCCGCCCCAAGTTTAGGGGGGGTTCCCAAAACTTCAGCCCCCACCCCTCCCCAAGTCCCCCAGTTTTCCCCCCCCACCCCGCCCCACAAAATTTCAGGTCAACCTTCGGCTCGCGTTCGCGTTGGAGCCGGGGCCGCGGCGCTTCGCCGCCTTCGTCCGCGCTGGGCCGCTGAAGCCGCAGAGTCACCACGTCCCCGGGCGCCTCAACAGAAACGCGCGCAAGCGATCCGCAAGCCCAGGTTTGCTTGAGGTCGTCTTACGTGGTGGGTGTGCCATTTTTTTCAGGGTTCCGCTTTTTGGGGCATACAAGGGGAAAAGCAAACCTCTCATTTTGAGGTTCCCCTATTTGGAAGCAAACCTGGTGAGCTCGCTACCCGTTTGACCATCAAACTTGGCTTCCGGCCCAACTCTGGCGTTCGACCCACAGAGTCAAATTGCACCCTGTCTTCCGGGGAGGTCAAGAGGGGAAAAGTACATGCCCCTCTAAACGGGCAAGCAGATCTACCACTTTGAAACTAGGAACCTACACACGTGCATGTTTAGCATCACCCACTACCAGCATCATCAGCATATCACCTGCATCAGCACCCTCGACATCATTGACATCATCAGCATCATCGATATCATTGACAAAACTCAGCATCATCAGCATCAACAGCATCATGATCATTATCAGCATCATCAACATCATCATCAACATCCTGGGATGAGACTTCTGTATGCGTGTGATAGAGCCAGGCGTGCTTACACAGACAGTTGGCGTCATAGAAGGTGAAGCTTTACACGGGGCATGTGCGTCTCCTGTTTTCCGTGAGGCAGGTTTTTGCTTGTAGTATCTTAGAGCAACCTTCCGACAGAGTTCACAGGGTCAGCGTGAACAGGGCGATCTTCTTGCAGGTGGCATAGTGCCCAAGACCTTGGGCGGATGATGGAAGATCCCCGGGCAGAAGCAGGGCCACATCATCCCAGTCACATCAGAAAGACATTTTTTCGTGCGGGGTACGTTCGGCAAAAAGCCCGTGCTGATGATGCTGATGATGCTGGCTGATGATGCTGGCTGATGATGCTGGCTGATGATGCTGATGATGCTGGCGATGGTGACGATGGTGACGATGGTCATGTTGCACATGATGATGATGGTGTTGACAGCGAGGATGGTGACGTGGTAACCATGAGTGAGTGGGTGTGGTGTTGCTGTGTTGATGGTGCTGGCTCGATGGGCGCAATGGAGGGTGATGACAGCCGGTGGCACGCAGAACCCTGGGGCGCTGCGCTTTGGTCTCCAGCATGCCGAAGAGGTCGTCCGTGGAGGTGATCCTCCTGAAGGAAACGGTGAGAGAACCGGGGTTTGGGGCAGCATACGACAAAACCTCAGTTGGGCAAAGGACCCCAAAGATAAAGGGTTGTTTTAGTGGGGGAACCCTCCCAACCAAAAAAGTGTAAAATGGCACTACTGGGGGACCTAGTTAACCTTTTCGGGCCATGACTCAATAAGGACCAAACTGAACCGCGCACTAAATGAGGCGACTTGGAGTTGCTTGAGGTCCTGCCATCCATGGAGATCACCACGTCTCCCAAGCGCCCGCCACCTGCCAGCAATACATTATATACCTGAGCATTGCCTTGTAAATGGTGGTTTCCCTTTATTTTGGTGGACATTCCCACAAAAAACAAAGACCTCGCAAAAGCTTTCTGCAGCTTGGTTTGGGTGGACCTGGCTGTGGCTGTCAAAAATAGGGTAACCCCAAAGTGTCTTGCCCTGGTAAATGCAAGCATGGACTCAAATCTGCGGTCCATATCCTGGTGGTTTAATATTGACCCACACCCACCTCGCAAAAGCTTTCTGCAGCTTGGTTTGGGTGCTGTAAATGTCATCCCGGTTTCTAACCGCTGACACTCCTTTCGAGATTGAAGCCAGAATGGTTTGTGCAGTATCTCTGCACATCCTGCAGAAGTACCCTGCAAGTCCTCTGAATGTAGCCCTGAGATGCCACTAGTCAGGATGTGTGGGGGAACCCGAGAATGACTGGTTACTTTTGATGTCAAAAAACAAGACGGGGGACCACCCAAAACAGGGGACCTCCCAAAAAAGGGGCGCTAAGTACCCCTTGACGACGGCTTTGCTTCTTTGGAAGGCACGCGGACTGGCTTCTTGGCGCCGGGCGCATGGGCCGAACCCCCGCCGCCGCAGCCGGGCCGTCAGGGACCACCTGCCCGACCGCGCCACGGCGATTTGAACCTTTCACTGGGCTTTCCCATGTAACCCTGGCTGCAAGTGGCCCTTGGGAGGAGGGGGGGGTGACTCGAACCAGAAGGCAAGACACTGAACCCAAGAATACCCAACGGGCTTAGGGGAGGTCGACAGGTCGGTAAGGTCTAACATAGCTTGTCCGGTTGAAGAAGGGTGTCCGGTTGAACCCTGTTTAAGTTCAAGTAGGGTAGTCTTTGTGTCCCTCTAAACCAGCCCCGAAGTGGGTTCCCCTTGTTAAGCAACACCAGTACCACAATGTGCTTTTGAGCTGCGAGGTGTTCGGTCAAAACAGGACACTCTTCCACGTTCTTGAACCAAGAATCTGCAACTTCAAGGCCAAATGGCATCCCAAGCCCAGTGCAAGACGAGAAAGGGCTCTCCCCCAAATGGGATTCGGCCCCTCACATCCCCTAAAAGCCCAGTCACCTAGTCACCGCACCTTCCCAGAAGCCCAAAGTCGCTCAGTGGTTGGCTCCTTGGGTTCCAGTCCACCAGGCCATTCCACCCATCCCCCGACAAACCCACTGAACCAAAGTCCCGCTTGAGAATCAAACGAGACATGGCTGTGGTCAAAAATAGGGCAACCCCAAAGTGGCGCAAGCCCTGGTACATGTTGAAACATGGAAACCAAAACCTGCGGTCCCTTTTTTTTCCCCTGGTGGAAAAAATGGTTTGACCCTTTTCCCACCTCAAATCTAGCGGCCGGTCCATATCCTGGTGGAGAAAAAAGATCGTTCGGCGGCCAGAGGCGGCGGCCCTCATCACCATGATGCCATTGAGCTGAAGCTCTTGGTCCATGACCTCGATCTCCGAGAGGAAAAATTCTTTGAGGCCCGAGGTCCGAGGGCCGAAGATTTTTGGAGAGCCGATGGTTTTTTGAGCAGGGCCGAACACCAAGGCCCGAAAATATGGGAGGGTTGGTCGAGGTGGCGCAACTTGAGAAGTACCTGTAGTACTGTAGGGTGCTCTGAGTTGCTGGAAGCCAGTTGAAACTCGTGGCCTTTTTTCAGTTGAACGAGGGGCTCCCAGACTCATTGATACCCTGGCAGTTCATAGGAAGTGTGACCCTTTCTGTTAGGGATCCTTCCTTTTTGAGGATCACTACTGACGGATACCAAGAATCGATAGAGCCCTAGCTTTGTCAGGCTATTTCAGTGTGTCTGTTTTGTGAGGGGTACCCTTTTGTGATTTTGTTGGAAGGGAAGAGAACCCGCATGTAGCTCTTTTGCCATGCACGGCCCTTCTGTTTCAGTTCAGCCTCCAATTGTTGAAGACTCCTCCCTTGAACTCTGGTTTTCCCCTCGCTTTCCAGGCTCCTCACCCGTGCTTACCCAAATCGCAGACCGTTTTGCTCCACTTAACCGATTTGGGAGGCGCTCCGATTGTTTGGCGCGCGGCGTCCGGCGCAAACACCAGGCCCAGCAGTGGCCGCTTCACAAAGCCTCGACGAGGGCGGGGGCAGCAACATATTGGGTCAGTCCTTTTACGAGGGCAGCCCTTCTTTGGTGTTGTTTGGAGGCAACAGGAAAACCGAAATCCATCTTGGGGGGTCAACCTGAAAAAGACACCACCCATATGGGATATGAGTTTGGAGTGGACCCTTTGGTGGACATTAGTTTGATTGAATTTTGAATGGCACTTTTGTCCAGTGAATCTGATTCGACATGGGAATCACTCATGATTTACATTGAGATTTCTGTCCACCCTCTTCTGAGGGGGTCGGGGTCCCTATTGGCTTAGCGTCTACAAAGGATACAATCTGCTAACATGGAAGCAGACAGTTCGTTTTGCACGAAACGGTCTTCCAGGAACCCCAGGTCAGGTTCCATGTGAGCATGTGAGCGGATGATACCCATGATCAGGCAGAACAGCCCTCGGTGCATTCAGGACATGTAGCCATTGGTTTGTGGGGGAGTCTGTCACCGGACGAGCGCAGGTGCGCAGGTGCAACCCACAAAAATCCAGCGACACAAGGAGATTCCTCTTAGAAACCACATTTGGCCATGGGTCAAAACCCGGTACCCCCAGTGAACATCCCAATCCCCACTAAAATCGGCTAAAATGGGTGCACCTATCCCAAAATGGTACCATTGGTTTTGACCCACAGCCATTTGGGGCGGGGGGTCATGTTCAACATGCCGGAACATGCCAGGTGGTAAACTTGAGATTTCCTCCACAAAACCCATGGTGTTCTTTGGGAAAGTCACCAGGCCCACCGGGCGATTGGGGGGCGGGTTCCCGAGCCTCTGGACAGAATGCTCTCCACGTTCTTGGAGACCGTGTCGATGGGAATGGCGAGGCCTCACACCACCACGGCTTACGGCTTGGACGTGCGGAGGAGGACTGAAACTCCGAGTGAGTCATAATCAAAGCCTGGTATTAAAATAGTCTACCCTGAACCATGTGAAGAATTAACAAGGCCAAAAAGAACGCACCCATGTATGGCGGGGAACATCCCGTACTAACCTTCATCGGGCACTGGGAGTCGGAACCCTTTTGGTGGTTTGAAGGGAAAGCGAAAGGAAGCCAACAGCTTTACGGGACCGGTCCCTACGTTGAGAAACCTCCGCCGCATGCGCGCTTCACGTTCACGACCTCAAGCGCATGCTGTCATGAGTGCTTTGCCCTCCCTATGTTCATCCGAGAGATGGATGGTCTGCGACATCCCACACAGGAAGCAAGAAGTTGAGCAATGGACTGCACGTTGCTCACCATGGGCATGGCAAAACTGCCAGGGTCGTTTTCCGGGCGTTCGTGTTCTGAAGTATGCATTGACGAGTGGCAACTTCAGTCTCAACTACTACCTATGCATTCTGCTGGAGGCAAGCAAATCAAACTCACAAGCTGCAAAGCAAGAACGAAAACATGAACATGTCTGCGTGCGTGCAAACCAGATACATATGCATGCACTCATGGATGAAATCCCGGTGTGCCCCAAATGCCCAGCTGATCAGCTCCCCCAAATAAAAGCAGACAGGAAGCCAAGCAAATCTCCGAAAACACTGGTGGAAAGAGGAAACATACTCCGCTGCTTCAAAGGAAAAGATTCGGAGGAAGCACATGCTTTGTCCGTTCTTGAAACAAAGCCTGCCACCTTAGAGGGTCTTTTCCAGTTCTCCAGACCAATGAAACCCGGAAGAGGGGTGTGTGTCGAAATGGCGTGACACTTTAATTGAACTGGTTGCTTCGGTCTTCCCTTTGGTTTCCCTTCAAAACCACCCAACCACCGGTACCATCCAAAAGAATGGGGGGATGAGGCACCCAAAGGGCAACCCGTCCGTGGGATGCCTGAGGGGCTTCTTGTTGCGTCGCTGGGCTCCCCGGCCCACGCCGGCGAACATGCCGCTGCCGGAGAGGATGGCGGTGTTCACGCCGATCACCTCGCGACTCCGCGCTCCGGGGGAGGGCATGCTGGGTATCCGGGGGCATGGGGCTATGAGGCTATGGTGGGGAACGGCTCCGCGGGACTTTCTGGACGTCGGCTCGCGACGCAAAATAGCAACCCATGTCCAAATAGACCAACGACCCGGTCCGCCCGCGCAACGTGAAACTGGGCGGGGGACTCCTGGACTGCTGCACTGCCCTGAAGTCAGGCCCCCCAAAACGGCGGGGCCCAGTTTCCTTTTTGGTTTCCCTTCCAAACCCCCAACATGCATCGGTGCCCGGCCTGGCCCTCGCTGTTCAGCAAAGGCCCGCCACTGTTGCCGGGGTTAATGCTGGCGTCTGTCTGGATCACGCCGCCTCGTTTTGCATGGAGACCGAACCTCCAGAAAATGGGGGCCGCAAGGCGCCTAGCCAGTGGAAGGAAGCCAACATGGAACAATCCGTGTGGGGTCTCACTTTGATTCAAGCGACCTTGCCTCTTCCCTGTGCCAAAAAATCAGTGGTACAAGAGTCACCATTTCTGGGTTTGTCTCAACATCGGGAACCCCCCAAAATGGATGGCGCCCTTTTGGTCTCCCTCTGAAGCAAAAAGAAGGGTACCCTCAAAAAATAAACCATGAGAAACTCTGAGGGTGGCTGGACCACTAGAAGCCGCATGAGGCAGAAACATTCTCTACAAACGACACATCACACATTGTGACATCAGAGATACAGCATGCTCTAAGACATGCATGTGACCGCCGCAAGCAGGAGGCCGTTGATTGGTCAAATATCCCGCGAGAACATGCCGAGAGAAGTCACCTTGTTACAAAGGCAAGAGCGCACCTTCCGCAGGCCATCCACTTCATCCACTTTGGGGCATGATTGACAAACTCCCAATGCCATCTGGTCAGGGGAAACTAAACGAAACCAGATCCAATTGCTTAGGAACCTGGGATACAAAATGATTGAAGCTCCATGAGTTTTGAGATCCCCTCCAAATGCAATCACTTTCAGGCACCCACTCGATTTCCCCCTCCCCACCTGCGCAGAGTCTCCGCCCCTCCGCCCCAAACATGCGCGTGCATCCCAGCCGCTGATGGGCCGACCGCCAGCGCTTTCCAGGCGCCGAGAGACCTAGCAGTACTTCAAATGCCTCCTGTCCAACACAGAGCCAACCTAAAAGTCCCTAAAGAGGACGCCTCAGTCAGGTGTTGTTCATGTTATGGGAGGGTACCCCTGGTATGACACTGTCAAATGGAAGAGGAACCCAAAGTCCATCTGTGTCCCGTCAAACTGACCTCTTTTGGGATGCCTGTGCAGTTAAGTGGTGTTGATTGCAAACACCATCCAAAGCGAGTTGCCAATGTTGAGATACATGTTACACAAGAGCAAAATGCCACAAGCTTCATCAAACCTCACGTACGGACACCTCAAGACCTGCTAGGCTCGAGAAGATATCTAAGGTGACAAGCTTCGTCTCGAGCATGTCCCTGACAAAAAACTACCGATCTTCTCCTAAAAAATTGAGGCTCTTGTCCGAATTTGTTTTCACTTTCTAAAACACCGTCCTCGCCCGGTCCCCCAACTTTAGGACTCTGCATCGAGAAAACACAGAAACCACCTGACCGCGGCCCAAAAAAAGTCGCTCAGTTTTCCTGGGGCCAAAGGAGTGCACAAAGCTCACCCAGAGGTGGAAGCGGAAGCGGTTGAAACAAGGAGAACAGGGCCCTCCAGTCAGCGAATGCCACCAAAACCGCAGACGTAGTCCTGAAGCTGGCCCTCTTGGGATGTGGGCCAAATCGAAGGAGAGTTCTGAAGCCGCTTCCCAAGTTTGCGATGCGCCCCAGCTTCACAGGCGCTCTGTTACCACTGTTGCAAGGCTCCCCGACATTGCCTAGATTTGTTTCCCCGGCCACAAAAACCACAGCTTGAGGATATCCTTCAATGGGGCGTCACTCAAAACCAACATGAGACCACAACAACTCGCCCAGAAATGATCTCAAGGGTTCCTTGAGAACCCCTAGGCTTCGGACAGAGGCCACGCCAAGGGGAAAAAGCGGGTCCGCGTCCGAGCGACTCAACGAACTGCTTTGCCGGATCGGCCTAGTCTAAGTGCCAATAACGATGGTCACAGGAAGGGTCCAAGGAGTCCAGCCCAAAACGGCTACGCTCGGAAACATCGATGCCCATCCTCACAAGTACCTACACCTTTGCATACCCCCTTACTTTTAATTCGGGACCCTTTGGTGGACATCATTTCGGCGAGGTGGTTTACTAAAAAACATCACCACCATATAAGGGTGTGTCTTTTTGGTAGGGGAACCCCCCAAAAACCAGAACGGTGGTTGTCCTTTTGGTGTCCCTTTTGACCCACCCCAAAACCGCTCGCACCGCGTCCCCGGCACCGCTGATGATGCCGCGGCTGAGGCTGTGCTCCAGGCCTGGCGCCCAAAAAAAGGGCCGGCGCGAAGGTGCAAGGCACGTGGAGTCCGAAAAAACTTCGGCGATTGGGTGAAGACCACTTTCAACTTGTACCCCTTACACCCAATACCCACTTTTTTAGGGTATCATGTCGACCCTCTACTAAAAAAGGAGGTATTTACCATGGAAAACCAGAGAACCCTTTCAACTTACTGGATTTCAACCACTGGCGGCTGATTCGGAGGATGAGAAAGGGCCCTGCCAGTGTGTGCCAGGCGGATTCTCGAGATCTCGCTCCGGAAAATCCCGCAGGGACAAAGAGGGGGTGTGGGCTTTTTGAGGTAAATTTGTTGGGGTGGCTTTAGAAGCAAACCAAAAGGAAAACAGAAAACTTCGGGGGTCCCCATATTCAAAACCCATCAAACCTATTGGCTTTTCAATTGATTGCTTGGAGTGCCCGGTGCCAAGTGGTTCAAAAGCCCGTGCTTCTCCCCCCTGCCCTAAGCCCTCCAGTTTTCTCCGGGTCAAAAGCTCCAGTTCCCACACCTTCCTCTCAGCTTCTTTCTGATCGGTCCTCTTGACAGGCATCCGATCAGCTTTCCTCCGGGGCATTGGTTCTTGGGGCTGAGGTGCTGTCCCCCTTAGGCGATGCACTGTACCCCTTGACATAGACCCCAAAAGCACCCAATGCTTTTGGAGGACCCACCTTTAGTAGCAGGTGAGGCAAGCATAACGTTTATTGACCCGGCACGAACTCCCCAGGCTATCTTCTGCAAGATGGCCTGATAAACCTCAGCCTTAGATGGGGGATCCCTAGATTCTGTCTATGTGTTGGAAAGCCCACGATCCCCAAACCACGAGCATGGTGCCGACCAAAGAGCGAATTGGGATACCATCGAAAACTGCCACTCGTGTCCACCAGGCTTGCACGGGGTGAGTTTTGCCAAAACAATGGTCCTGAATTTTGGAAACAACCAAAAAACTAGGCTGGAATTAGGACCCCAGCAAAAAATCATCTTTTTTGCCTGGTTAGTGGAAAACAAAAGGACCCAAAAAAAGCAAAAAAACAAAAAAAGAGGGGAGCTAATTCTGGGGAAGAAAAGCGTTACCCTCCCCTCGAAGCCGGCGATGCGAGCGACCAGTTGCGATCAGGCTGGGAGCCACGCCGAATGGATTGCCAAAGGCGAAAACGTTCTGACCTCATGGGCAAAGCGTTTTGGGGAACGGTCTGGATGTATATTTGTGCACCAGCCCTTGGCCATTGGGGCTAAGTGGATCTGTGTCACGTGCTTGTTGTGACCTTCTGAAGTTCCCACAGTTTTAATGCAGAGGGGGGCCTACCACGCGATATGCAGCCCCTGCCCCGGATGGGCGCAAGCTGTCTGTGTCTGATTACCGCAAGGACTTCGTCACAAGCTATGGACACCAAAATCCGTGATGTGTTTCCAATCATGCAGAAACTTGCCCCGTTTTCGGTATCCCAAACATCCAAGGCAAGTGGGCAGGGGTCCACTTTGGCGACTTAAGCAACCAAGGGGGTAACCGAAAAAAAAAAAAAAAAAAAAAAAAAAGGAACAACAAATAAATGAAAGAACGGGGCTAACCAAAAGCTGTAAACCCTCCCCTCCCAAACAAACAAAAAGAAAACACGCGTATGTATGAGCACGTATGTATAATATATATATATATATATATATATATATAATCCGTGTATACATCCCAAATAGCAACTCATTTCCCGAACCCTTGCTGGAACCTGCCCGCAATCCTGGAGACTCTTTCGGTGTCTCTGTCACTCGCCTCACTGGCCACAATTCACCCACCAAAACTGAAAGGGACTCACCAACTCCTCACTCTTGAGGCCAAAATCTCTGGGCTAGTGTCGGGGGTCTTCGGCTTGGTGCGAGAGATGGAATCAGGGTCCCTGAGAATTGGAATGAACCCAAAAGCACCCTCCCCGATTTGGTGTCCTTTATTCGGGAGTCCCAAAACGGTTCATTCCATGTCCCTATCGATGTCGCAGCGGAATCAACCCCCGTGTATTTTCATATGGGGGTGTGGGCCCTCAAAGAGAAGACTCCAACCTCTAAAACCAATAAGCTCAGGTGATATCCCCAACAGCATGTAGAACCCTGCTGGAACCCTGGTGAAACCCTCGTGGAACCATACCTCAGGGCCGCCCCAGACCACCCCGGAGCCTATCTGGGCTGAGACCCCAAAGCTTTCAGCTGTTGGGGAAAAAATGCAAAAACGACACAACACACTCCAGTCCCCTTAAAGGAAAATCCACCACTTCAGAAACCCAGGGTAGACTTAAACCCAGGGGTGTCCCTTGTGGAATCAACCACCCCTGGGTTGAAGTCTGCCTTGGGGTGGTCAAAAAAAGGGAGCCTGCACAAACCACGTCTCACAAAACCCATATCTCTCGCAGCGCGGGGAAAAACCCGGGGACCCCGGGCCCACCAGCAGCTTCTCGGAGCGGCCGCGCTTCAGGGGCTGCATCAGATCTGGCGGGGGGTTGGGTGGAGTGGGGGTTCTGGGCTTCGGAGCGGGGGGGGTGGGGCTTGGAGGGGAAGGATGGATGGGGATGGAGTGGGGATGGAGTGGGGATGGAAGGGGGTGGAAGGGCGTGGAAGGGGAAGGGGGTGGAAGGGGGTGGAAGGGGGTGGAAGGGGGTGGAAGGGGGTGGAAGGGGTGGAAGGGTGGAAGGGGGTGGAAGGGGGTGGAAGGGGTGGAAGGGGGTGGAAGGGCGTGGAAGGGGGTGGAAGGGGGTGGAAGGGGGTGGAAGGGGGTGGAAGGGGGTGGAAGGGGGTGGAAGGGGATGGAAGGGGGTGGAAGGGGGTGGAAGGGTGGAAGGGAGTGGAAGGGGGTGGAAGGGGGTGGAAGGGGGTGGAAGGGGGTGGGATGGAGAGGGATGGAGAGGGGGGGGGTCGGTCCCAGAGATCGAGTTTCGTGCGAGCGAAGAAAACGGAAATCCTCTTTTGGGTTGGCCGCAAATCCATTTCTTACCTGCAAGATACTCTTTCTAGGCACACCCGACCCCCATTTCTGAGGATTTGTTTCCTTGATGCTCGGAAGGTATGTTGCACGGTTCTTAAATTTGTGCTGTCGAAACTCATGTGGGCGGAGTCATGGCTTCCATAGGAGCCCTTGCAATGATTGCGTAAATGTCTCGATTAGGGCGATGAACTACCCCCCTTGGGCCCAAGAACAAGGGTACTGTGATGGCATGTTTGGAGGACTCGGAACTAACTGGAAGTAAAGGGTGCAAAAAGGGCGTCACTGAAGAACTGGGGAGAAAGATAGAGCAATACATTGGCTCGAGCCCTTGCTAACTGCCTCCCGGCAGTGCCTGCATTCCAGTGAATGACTGTAAAAATATGGTGTTGAGCATCAACTTCAACAAAAGGCAGGGTCATCTTTGTTTGTGTTGCTCCGACCTGTTTGAAAAAATAAGCGCAATTGTTGAAGTTCATCAACTGGAAATCAAGGCCCCTTTGCAAAGGACCTCAATCATGAGTCAGCTCGTTTCACCACCAGAACCCGGAATGGGCAGCAGTCTTTGGTAAATTGGTGCGCGCTAAGCAGGGAAGCAGAGTAACCCATAAACACCTGACCACGGGTTTCGGGCTCTGCTCACAAAATGTTGTTTGCAACGCCTGCAGAACATCGAACATCGCATAAAGCACGCTGCCAAATAACGTTGGCAACACAAACTCGGCAATCACCTCGGGACGGATGAAAGTGAACCCCAAAAGGAGCAGGCCGTTTCAAACTCTCTGTGGCACTGCATGTTTGAGTCGTCGTCAGTCAGACCCACTCGGCAATCCCGAACCCATGCCGCAACTGTGAATCGCTCCCGGCATCCCGTCCTTTGGGCAAGCCAGAGCCGTCCTGGCCACAAGCCACTCCGAAAAACACGCAAGAACTTGCTTGAACGGGCCGGGCACAACAAATGTATACATATCTGTATATGTATATATATACATATATCTACAGAAGATACATCTGTATGCTTTTGAGAATCAAAGCCTGAGTTTTAAAAAAATCATCGAAACCGATGCCCAAAGGCTTGTTCAGGTTTCTCGAACCCCCGGTCCGGAGTCAGCACTTCCAAGACTGCCACGTCGCTCGTGGAATCGTAGCCTGGGCTAATTGGGGGGGATGGCCCAAAATGGGGAACCCCCCGGTTGGATGGGTTCTTACCGGGGAAAAGGGAAACCCTCCCACCAAACATGGAGGTGCGCAAAAAGGCCAACTAACCAAGAGGGAAAGTGGTCTTTCTACAGGGGTCTGTGCACTTCCATGTTAGCTGGTGGGATGGGGTCCCGAATTTTGAGGCACGCCCTTCCCCACAGAGTTGAAGGGCAAAGAACCAGTTGACATGCCACGATAATCATCTCGCACTCACTTACTCCAGCGAATTCCTGCAGGGAGAGTGTAGCGGGAATTCGGAAATGTTGCCAAGGCCCTTCTCGAACCAGGCTAAACAAACCCCCAGCTTTCGTTCGAGCAAGTCATGCTCGACCTAGTGTACCACTATCAAAGTCGCCTCAAAGTGGCAACTTAAAGGCGAGCTTCTGACGTTGATACCCCCCGAGTCAACAGTGCTGATGTTGCAGAAAGCCAATGGCAAGCGAGTCAGGAAAGTTGGCGTACTGCTTCTGAACCCCCCCCCCCCCCCCCCAACAACAAAAAATAAGCTCAGGTGATATCCCCAACAGCATGCGGTGCTCTTTTTAGTGCTTGCACCACCCCGCAGCCCTCGCAGAACCTTGTGGAACCCTGGTGGAACCCTGGTGGAACCCTGGTGGAACCCTGGTGGAACCCTCGTGGAACCCTCGTGGAACCCTCTTACCTCAGGGCCGCCCCGGACCACCCCGGAGCCTATCTTGGCTGAGACCCCAAAGCTTTCAGCTGTTGGGGAAAAAGAATAGAAAACATGGAAACCAAGAAAAACAACAAAAGCAAAAAAGAGGGGCCCTTCCAAACCCAAAACAAAACACCGGGGAGCCATCAAAGGTAAGGTATTTTGGGCACTCAAGAAATGAATCTCAAGGAGCCCCCCATCACATGAAGCGCCGAACGCCGGGCCCCGCACCAATCACCTCCGCTCGGTAGCTCACACGCCTGGGCCCTGCCGTGAGGTTTTTGCTTCGGCGCTCTGCATCGGATGGGTCGAACTTGGTGCTTTCCGGCATGGCATGTGAGTCACCGTCAAACCCGATCGGTATTTGTTTAAAAAAAAGGCGCGTAATCCCGGAAGCCATGTAAAGAAGGAAGCCATGTAAAGAACGGAAAAAAGGAAGGCGGCATTCCGCACCCATTTATGGCTGGGATTGTCAATCTGAGCTCCAAATTTACCCGGGTTTTGACTGTGACAGCGCCCTAAGGCTGATAGCCAAACACCGCACTTTGGTTGTGCTACCACTCAAATGCTGCAAAAATAGTGAAGCGTCAAATGGCATGGCTTGATTGATGCACACCCCTGAAGGGCGGTTTGAACGTCGGCAACTGGTTGTTCTTTGCTTACCGCTGGCACCTTGGCACTGGCTCACACACTGAGACTTATGTGTGAGATTCCCGTGTCTTTTTCGGCTGGCGCTCGTTGGTCTGGTTTCAAGCTGAACCCAGGTGGGTGGTTTTCAACATGTACGAATCAATGAATTGTCCTAATGTGAAATGATAAATGAGGTAATTGCATTTTGTGTTGACGTGTTCATGTGTGCTTCCTTTGATGCTGACAAATTAGCTAAAAGCATTTATTCATTAATTGTTCAGAAATTATAAGAAGGATCTTCCTACGTGTTAAACTAACAATATGATCATCGCGATGGATTCGTTGTCTTTTAATCCTATCAACCTTCCTCAGGGTGGATTGAAGGCGGATCCATGTCGGGTTCGTGCCTGGAAATCCCTGTCAGAGGGATGGCTGGAACAATATATTTAAATGCTCATTAAGAACTCGTTTAAAGGTACTCTCAGTCGATCCTACCGACCGAATGATTGACCACACGAAGCCCAAGCCACTCAAATCATAGCCTCGAACCCATCAAGCCTTGAGACGCTCTCACCGAGCCAGGAAAGAAAACACAACACCATGCCCAAAACAAGCGGGCGCTTTCAAAAAAAAAACTCGGAGCCCCATGCAGTTGTGGGTGTTCTGGTGGTTTGACTTTCCCGCCAACCACACCTGCCCATGGCCGATGCGCTTCGCCTGAGCCGTCTTTCAGCAAGAAGGTGACGAAGGTCCTGAGGGTCTCTGAACCCAAGTGGCTCGGGTCAAAATGAGTCCTGACTTGAAGGCTTTGTCCGCGAGGTTTGTGAAGATTCATAAGATTGCAAGACAGAATCCAACTGGACGACACTGGATTTTGGTGAAACACGTTAGAGTCCAGAGGCGGGAGGCCTCGCTACTTGCTTTCCACCGCAGCAATATGGTCGACTGGCTCAAGGTTGCATGACCTGTGTCATTACCAACAGGGATGTAGCTGGGTGTTTCTTTTTGGAGTGTACCCCTGCTTTGGCGGCTGTAGAGGAAAAACCAACAGGAAAACCAGCATTGCTGTTCGCTTTTGTTGTTTTTTTTTTTGGGGGGGGGGAGGGGTCCCCTAAAAAAAGACACACCCACCTAACGCTAAGGAACTCCATGAGACGTTGCCTTTCAGGCAGGATCATCAATACAAAACCTCCTCTTCTTAGGGGAAGTGTGTCTTGTTTTGCCTGGCAAAAGGGCCTCCCTTTTTTCTTGCAAGTCTACCAGGAAACCCTCCCACCGGCTCGGTTCAGCAACATTGACCCCTTTCCAAAAGCAAGCGCCTTCAAGGTGTCTCTTCACCAAACACCTGAGAGGAAAACCCATTGTTGAACAAATGACGCCTATAAGACTGCCAACAACTGGACAGCGGAAAAAAAAGGAAGAAGAAAACAAAAGAAAAACTGAAAACGCCCGGAAACCAACGAAAAGACGTGCAAAAGCCGGGCCTTCGGAAAAGGACTTGGCTGGCTTCCCACACTGCTACTTTTGAAGCTTCAACGAGGAAGCACATGGAGTTTCACAAGGGGAAACTGGGTTCAAAACCCCAAATTCGGGGACCGCTATTCGCAGGTAACCTGAAGGTTGTGACTTTTGTTGACCACCTTCTCCTTTTTCCCCTTTTTTTGGGTCTCCTCCATTTTTATTTCTTATTTTTTGTTGGCGGGGGGGAATTTCCCCTTGAAAAGGACGCCCCTGGAAGAGCAAAAAGAAACCGCTTGGCCCCGGGCGTCTGCAGCTCAGAGATCACATGGAAGTTGGTGACCACCTGGAAATCCCGCGACTCCGCGGCTGGCTGGCGATACAAGGACCGCCAAAAACCTGGGAAGGGCTTCCTGTTTGTGTCTTCAATCAAGGAACTGATTCACCTCCTTTTCACATCCTGCAGGGTCGATTTTGAAAGTGATTTTGACCAGGTTAAGGACATCTTTGATTCAACAGCCCAAAGAAGGTCCCTTCTCTTGTTTTTGCTGGCTGCTCGATGCTACTCCGTGTGGGGCTATTGAGCAGGGAAACCTAAGAGAACTGGGCCCAATACGGGTTCGCTCACCAGGCAAACTCAGATGCGCACGAAACCGATGGGGGACCACATTAATGATTAAGCGATTGCCCCATCAGCAAAATCGAGGGTGTACGGGCTGGCAAGTGTCGTCCGCTGTTTTCACCCGAGCAGAATCTGGATTCTTCAGGGTTCACTTGCAACATGTGCTTTCTCAAGATGTGTTCTGCAAGGAATGCACCCTCTGATGGTGTGCTCAAACACGAATTGGCGATTGATGCAGAGATCAAATCAGACGCCTGCCCTTACAAAAGCATAAGCATCTGCCAATGACTGCTGGCACCGAGAGGCAGGGTATGCAGCACATAGAAACTCATGTTAGCCCCAGACAAAATGATGTCTTCCCCTCTTGGGGGACATGGGACAGCTGGGCGGCTTGCTGGTTGCTTGTCGCGGAACTCGGAGCCACCCAAAGAACTTTGGTCAGTCACTCGCGAGAACCGATCAGTCGAGCCGCTGGCTTCCATCTGGCTCATCCGACCCCTCACTCCAGTTCAAAAGGCCCCAGAAGTGGGAAATGGGAACAGAAGCTTGTTTGTTCATAGACCCACACTCCTGCGGATGAACGCAGAACCCCAACAACCGAAGAGGAGCTGAAGTCCGGAAAGCATTTTTGCATCACTGACAGCCAAGCCGTGTGCTGGCACGGCTCTCGAAACTGATAAAAACAAAATTACCGCAAACCACATCGGGTTTGCTTTCTGTGTGCGATGCGCGCTTGAGCATCCGTGACTAACATCAACCCCGACCAACAAACACAACTCAAAACCTCCACGTCAGGCAAACGCATGCAGTTGCGACCAGGGTTCCGTGTTTTGACCTCCTTTGGGTACACTTAATCCCAGGGGTTTCCCTTTTGGGGGAATCAACCACCCCTGGGTTTCAGTCCGCCTTGGGGTACTCAAAAAACGGAACCCTGGTTGCGACGGCCTCAAGCAATTCCATCCCGAGATCCGCGCATGTTTCTTGTCCCACACAAAGCCGCTGCCCGCGATCGCGGGCGATGGCTTCTCCCCCAGCGTGTCCTGCGCGCGAGCGAAACACCTCCAACGGCAAGGGCGAACCTCCCAAAGCTATCCACTAGAAAGTGATCAACAACGCATTTGGAGCAGATTTGCCGAAAAGAGGGAAGCCCCTTTTGGCTTGAGCAATGGCAAGTTCTCTTCCGTTGAGACTATATACCACCACCTTTGTTATCTTCCCCACCCTCATCTCCACAAAACCTGCCTCAAACCAACCCTTCCCCGCCTCCCCCCACCCACCCCACACACACACACCACACACACACCCACACACCCCACACACACACACACACCCACACACCCCACACACCCCACACACCCCACACACCCCACACACCCCACACACCCCACACACCCCACACACCCCACACACCCCGCACACCCCGCACACCCCACACACCTCCCCCGCCCACTCGCCTGGGGCGGCGGCTCTTTGGCGATGGACACCACCCCAGGGGTCACCCGCTCAAACAAGGCCGTCACCAGCTGCTCATCGCTGCCTCATAGGAAGCGCGGACTCGACCCAAATGGTCGTCCGAAGGGCTGGTTTCTGCTACGTCCATCGGATCGGGTTGAGTAGAACATCCCCTTTTGAAAGGAGTCAAAAGGGGTTGGGTGTTTGACATTTGTCCGACAAGAAGGATGGAAGGAATGGGGAAGCTGGAACTTGAAGCAGGGTTGTCTCCCTCTAAACCGCCAAAAGAGCCATTTTACGCTGCATGGTCATGGCCATTGTTCCCAGGAAAGGCTTGCAAACCATCCCCAAAAATGCATTTTAAAAAAAAAGTTTCACAGCCAACCCTTCGCTTGCGTCCCACACTGCAAATGGACCCTGATGTTCCTGCAAGTCTCCAGTTCACCACTGATTCACTGAGCTTGCAACACTTCAACAACGCACCTGGCTGTACATAACATTGGTGCTGCAGTTCGACTACAAACTTCTAGAATCAATGCGTGTAACGGTGTTATTTGATTAATCCGACTGTTACGCCGAAACAGGCATGACGGATTCCGCTTTCCAAGTCGGTGCCATCTTGTATGAGTGTTGATGGAAACGCGGGGGTGTGTGTATATACATAAATATATGTTTAAACAACAAAAGTGTCATGTTTGGATGCTGAGATCGAACACATGTGAACAAAAAGGGGGCAACATTTGGGCGTCGCAAGTTTGGTTGGGGTTGTCGACAAGCTTGGTGTTGCTTTAGGCTTCGTCTAAACCATGGCAAAACAAGAAACCATACTGGAAAACCAACGACAACGAGACATTCAGGCAACGGGTTGAAATTCCAATGTTGCTTTCGTTATTGTACTTGCATGTCGTCTTCAAGTAAATTGGCTCTTGCGCAAGCCAGCCAAAAAGCCCACCAAACTGCAGCGTTCATTGGCTTTAGGCGTTGATTGTCGGGTTCCGCAGAAGTTCTAAACAAACCATGCTGACAGGGTGGCGTGGGCTCGAGAATGCATCAAACTTCGTGGGGAAAAACCGGGCGCGTGTTTACAAACTACTTGGGCTCCGCCCTTGGCTGCCCGCTTTGCTCAGCCTGGGAGCCAGGCTGAGCGCCAACGCTGGCTCGGCCTGAGGTTCTCCCGTGGGGCAAATTTCCGACGAACTCCCGCAAATGCAGGTCGGAGCATCTGTAAGACTGTGTCCCATAAACTTTGTGGGTGTACCAGCCAGTAAAAGTTCCAGATTGGATGTACCAGTAAGGTAAAAGGCAAAAGATGATCGTGTCTACATCCCAGCCCTTTGCAGACTAACTGCCCCAGAAACTTTGTGTACCAGCCAGTAAAAGTTCCGCGTTCCGCGGTTGGGGCCGCTTTGATTCCGTTGCGCGCAACTGCCAGCTGTTGGCCACTTCATCTGCTGTGGGAAACCCCCATATCACAGCACTGCGAGAAAAGCGTGCGTGCGTGTTTGCTTGGTTGACGTTGAAAGGGGAGCAACAATATAAATTTTAGCAGTTAAGTGTTGGATTTCCCACTAAACCACAATAAGCAAAAATGTACAATGTTTCCCAACAACAACCATGTTTGTGTATGTTTCTGTAGGTTCACCGAGAATTGCAGCCCATCTTCCGGACTTAGCTGAAGCGGATATTCCGCGCACATTCGCGAGACATGCCGAAGCGCTCGTAGCACTGGCACCCAAGGTGCTGTCTTGCGGGGACCTTTTGCCGCTTTCTGTGGGGATGGCATACCTGCAAGAGGAAACTCCGATACTTTTTGGGAAAAAAATGGGCACTTCCCCCAGGTCTCAAACGGAATCCCAGTCTTCGCCGAAATTCTGACCAGACCCGACAAGCGCACACATGCTACTCCTTCTTGTCATCCGGGGGGGGGGGGGCGGGCGGTCGAATGGAGAGGACAACTTGGATGTTGAGTAGTGCTGTTCGACTGCGCTCCCAGCTCAAAACGAACAATTTGCCAGGTTTGGAGGGGACTCGCCTGGGTTATGACCCACTAACATAGGTGTCCTTCTTGGAAAATAGATGGCCCTGGTATCCAGGGGTGCTTCCCCTTTTACATACCCCTTGGACAAATGAACCCAAAAGGCCTGCTGATGTTCATACCCCTCTCCCCAAAAGGGGTATATACCCCGTATAAAGTGGGTTGGAAACCATGGAAGCCAAGGGGTATGAACAAGGGGTATGTACTTCCACCCTTAGATGGTAGATGATTGAACTACCAGGTAAACCAGGGCCCTATTTTTATCAACCAAACTAACCAAAAAGGACACCTATGCCCACCAACGTCATCTCCGCTTTCTTGGGGACTTCGTGGGTGGTAGCCTAGGCTGCTCACAGGATTCGCCCCATGACCTTCGAAGTCCTCGACCGTTGGCTTCGCTTCCCTGCGATCGCGCGCTGCGGTCAATGTTGGGTATGATGTTCACATGGGGCACCTGGGATGTGAGTTTTGGTGGATGTTTACCCTCCCACAAACTAACATGGAAGTGCACAAACCCCCCCTCTCCAAGAGGAAAGCAGTCTTTCTACCCGGGTCTGTGCAATGCCATGTTAGTCGGTGGGAGGGCATGTCCACCAGCCAGCGTTGATGTTCTCATCTCAAGTCATCACCACATTCCTTCATGACAGCTCCGCATAGGTGTTTGTTTGATCAGTGAGTTTGGTGAGAAATAGACGGGTTCTACTGGTTTAGATTGGTTGCATTCCCATTTTACCAGGGCCATGTATGCTTCCAAAAGGTCACCTGACTCCACCCCCCCGACTCAAAAGGCCAAGCTGCTCCAAGAAGCGCCACCAGCGACCCCGCCTTGCGGAGAAAATGACGGAGGAGTCCAGGCTGGCTAGCTATGTTGACCCCCGATGAATCAACCAAACCTGCGTATTCTTTATTGGTGAGTCACAATCAAACCCCGGTATGAAAATGGTCTACCATGTAAAGAATTAAGAAGGCGGCCGCAACTAATTCTGGCTGGGACTGCGCCTTACTATCCTTCATCTACCCGGGTTTTGATTGTGGCTCAGGTGGTGTTTGGGCCCTCCAAAAGGAAGGATTCCCCACATTTCACCAGAATCGGAACCTCCAAATTCATAAACTGGGGTTGATTCATACGCGGTAAACAGTACGGTAGATCCAAGGGAAGTCAACGGATTTTTTCTACCTTCCTGCTCCTTCCGCCCTGGTGCCTTGTGCCTGAAACAGGCTGTGAACTCAAGGTGGAGTTCCTTGCATTCATTCCTTTTGAGCTTTGCGAGATGGATGTTGTATTCTCTGAAGAAAAAAGCTGAAGGAAGTTGTGCATGCTTCATGCTTCTCCTATATTCCGAGCACACAAATTCATAGATTCCCTCCATCAGTGCGAAGTCACCTTGCCAAGCACCTGCAAAATCTGTTTCCAGCCCAAGTTTGATACCGAGGTGCGAGGCGGACTTGCCCTTTCGATGCAACACCCGCGACCGAACATCCTACTGCCCGGAATGGGAATGTCTAAAGGTAGTCCTGCGATCGACAGGCAAACCTTGGACCTTGCCAGCTACGCTTGCCATCCCGCCAGGCAAGCCGAGCCATGAGGAGTTCTGGTCTTGAAAAGCTGAAAACCTCTTGGCACGCCTGGGTGATTCATATCACACGGTTTGATGCCGTCCAAACTGTCCAACGATTCCCGAATCGCTGCGAAAGGGCAATTGTTCCCCAACCTGAAAACAGATTCCGACAAAACGACCTTGGGCGAGCCCATTGTGCCGGATCGGTGAACTCGGAAGTGTTTGCAAGAGACTCCCCAACCTCTTCCACAAAGAATGACAAGCACAAGCATCTCTTCAAGTCTCCTGCCAGCTTTGACCCAAGGGTCGGCGCGTCTTTCTGTTTTGCTCGGTGCCCTTCTTCAAGTTGCTCGAAAAGAAAACGGCACGGAAAACAAACCAGGCGGACACTTGGGGTCTATTTTGCAACCTCCTCCTTTTTGGGTTCTTGGATGCAAAATAGACTCTAGGTATCCATGGCACGAGGTTTGCCCCTTTGGAGAAACCTTCCTGAAGTCCGTCGCTTCGCCCGAGGGCCAAGCGGACAAGTCGCGTCGCAGCACGGACCTGCGGGACCCTTCGACTTCTCGGTGTCGAACCAATCGCATGGGACGGACCCCTGAAACAGCTTGGCTTCAAGGAAAGCCAACCAAAAACACACAACTTTTGAAAGGAAATGCACATCCCCATGTTGACACATGGAAGTGTTTTTTGCTTCTAGTTAAGGACCTTTCGGGCCTTCGGGCATCATGGTGGGGATTAATGTCCACTGTCCACCGACCACTTTTGAGGTGGTTCACTGTGAACCAGGAAGAATCGCCAGCCCCTGGGTGTTTGTAAGAAATCTTGTGCGTCCCCTAGTGTCCCTCCCAAGCTGTTATAGACTGTGTAGAATTTGGCTGAACCTCAGACATGGGCCTTAAGGCAACCAGCTAAGTTTGACTTGAATCTCTGAAGTGACTAGTGTGTTCATGTCGTATGGACTCAGCAAGTTTGTGGCTTCCAAGATATTGCTACAGTGTCAGGCTAATCAGGCGCTGCACCACCCCCCCACCCACCAATCAATCCACCGATGCAAGCCATCTCTACCAGACAAAAACAAAACCACAACAGGCGCCCACCAACCGCCTGAGAGGTACAGGAGGGTGGAGAAATCCCCATGTGAGCAAGTGTCGGCAAGGAACAGTCAGGTGGGGGACACAATGAATATGGACTGCACCTCACCTCGTTTTGCTGTGCTGCGCTCCAAGCCGTGAGCATAATTTGACACCTTCGATTCGCCAGAAGGATTGACATGACACAACGGGAGCGTCCGAAAAAGGACGGCCTTGCTCGCTTGATACCCTCGCATTGCGCCAACGTGCCAAAAAAACATCGCCAATTGTGCCAAGGGCTCACTTTAGGCGGCCAAACATTTGCTGATCCACTGGTCAAACCAGGTGTGGGCACGCCCGACGGCACCCGTCCGGCACCCGTTGATGTCATTCCCACGGGTCAAACCATGCCTACAGCCCGCCTCGCCTCAAAGTCGTGTGGCTTTTTGCCTGCACCCCGGAGCCCCTGACTTTGTTTGGCTATCTGGCCATGGCCGGGCAAAATGGGGAAACACCTATGCGTGGTTTCCCCTTGGTGTCCTCTCCACACCCAAACTAGGTCCTCCAGTAGAGAGGTTAGAATAAGGGTACCCTTTTTCTGCAGTCTATTTCAGTAGGGGAACCCTCCCAACCAAAAAAGTTGGTCACAAGGGCACTACTGGTGGACCTAGCAAAATGTTTTGGGGCACCAGAAAATGCCTCCCTCCCACGCACCGGCCTTGCAGGCGCGCTGGGAACTCCTGCCGTGGGCGTCTTGCCGTCTGGTTTCCTTCTTCTTTTATTTTCATCGGGCCTGGGGACAGGTTGAAAACTAGACCGCTAGGTTACGCACATAGCCCCAAACCCAGTCCCATCTATGCTTAACCAAACTATCCGAAAAAGGACGGCTATGGTTACGCACGCACGTCGGTGGCGGAATAAACCCCATCTAAGCCAGTGTAACCCATCTACTTTTTATCCAAACTAACCTACAAAGGACACCTATGGACACGCAGCTTTTAGCCTTTGGTTCCATTTGCCAAGGTGCAATTTTGGGATTCCCTCTTTTTGGGCCACAGCCAAATGTTCTGCAAGCTGTTGACAGTGGGGAGGGCCTAAGTGACGTGGACAGACCTCGCAGCTTTGGTACGCACCGCACAAAAGACATATAATATGTTGCCTGCTGCACTACTACTTCTGCGGTTTTGCCTGAACCGCGCTCTCTTGAAAACCTCTACCTTGTGTGAGGAAAGCCCAAAAAATACACAAACACCTCGAGGGAGAAAAAGAAGAAGAAAAAACAAGTAGGGCGTGTTCAGAACATTTCCCTCAGGGGCTTTGTGTTTCGTGGTTTCTGTGTATTGTTGGTTTTTCCTCGCTGTGTTTGAGTCTTCTCAATTTGCAATTATCTTGGTGGATCTCTCCCGCTCTCTCATGGCAGCTCCCCAGAAAATAGAAAAACCAACAATCACGAAAACAAAAAACTGTCCCCCAACAAGAGGTGCTCTGAATTGCGCCTGATTCTCGTGCCAAAGACCGCTTGGAACATAGATGTTGGGGAGGGTCCAGCCATGCCAAGGTACCAAAAAAAACGGCAGAAATCTCAAAAACACCGGGCCCCACGGGTAGGCGGATAGGAACCCGCCGACTTGTTGGGGTTCCCGGGTTGTCTTGCAGCCCGACGCGACCCACGGACGGACGCCACCCACGGACGGACGCCGCCGTGCTTTTTCGCTCATCCCGCCAGCAGGGCCATGGAAGACGGAGGTGGCCGTAGCGGGCCCCCTCGAGGGAAGGTGTCCGTTGGTCGCTGGAGGCATGTGCCTTACACGTGCTAAAGTAAGTCGCGAGTAATTGCCTGTCTGTCTGTCTGTCGTCCGTCTGTCTGTTTTGGAAGGGTACATTGGCAAGGAACAAAACTAAATGTTGCACGCCTCCGATCTTTTTCCAGCTCTTCAAGAAACACCTCCAACAAAGGCAGGCCATTTCAACTAGGTCCTCCAGTAGAGAGGCTAGAATAAGGGTAACCTTTTTTCTGTAGTCTATTCTATTAGGGGAACCCTCCCCAAAAAAGGGTAAAAGGGCACTACTGGGGGACCTAGTCAATGTAGGCAACTACGGGTTGCACCTCCCAAGTCGGCGTCTGGCTCAAATGCCTCAAAATCCGAGCTGCACACTTGAGTCACACTCAAAACCCGGCAACAAAATGGTCGCAATCCCAGAACCATGCTTCAAGAATTAAGAAGGTGGAATTCTGCACCCTTTTTTCTGGTTGGGGTCATCCCTTACCTTCATCTACCCGAATCGGTTTTGATTGCCAGTGGCTCACCCTGCTCTCACACGCCCATGGCATTCACTGCGCTGGTCTCGTCTTTCAGCACGTCCTTCACCTCTTTGGTGATGGCCGGGTCCATGTGGCCCTTCTGATGCCTAGGCAAAAAGCCAACTTTACCAAGAAAAAGAAAAGCGGGGGGAAAACATAATAAGAAGAAGAAGAGTAATAAAATGGAGTCACCAAAGACGCATGGTGCCACGGCCTGATGGACCTGAGTGCGCCTGCCTGGACGGTATGATGGATCTAAGGCAGTGATTCTTGCATCCGACTGGGGGGGTTGAAGGCCACCTGAGATGGCTCGGTGGCTACGCCCGGTGCGACACGGAGAGGCGTGGCCCAATGCCCCTTGAATCAGCTGGGGCTTCCGGGCCCGAAGGCCCCAGCTGATTCACGAGGAAATCTCGACTCACGCGCGTGCAATGGGAAAAAGCGGGGGGCTTGTTGTTGAAAACGCACACACACACACACACACACACACACACACACACACACACACACACACGCACACACACGCACCCACACACACACACACACACACACACACACACACACACACACACACACACACACACACACGCACGCACGCACGCACGCACGCACGCACGCACGCACACGCACCCACACACACACACACTCTAAAACTCCCGAAGCAGAGAAACTAGTAGATTCGAGTAAGGAGGTGTTTGAGTCAAGCGGTTCAAGTGAGTGTGTTCGAGTGACGTGTGACAAGGGCAAATCTAGAATTGTCGAGTCAGGATTGACTTGAAGAGGGGAATAGGGAAGCAATGCTTTAAGGGGGCCAACAGGACTTTCAGAATCACTGATTGCAGGTAGGCCGAAGTGGCCAACTCCGGTAACCTTTCTTGCTGCCTATCTTTGCTTAAACCAGGTCAGCAGCAAGACGCCTGATCCCCCTGAAATTGAACTCTTGTATTTTTTGGGGCCATACCATCACTTACATGGGCTTCGGTCATGTGAGACAGCGACAACTTGACTTGTTTCGCCGGCTTGGGCGAGCCACCCTAAGTTGCTCAGGTGAATCCAAGTGGCCAAAAGGCTACAGGCCCAGTATCTCAAGAGTCAAATCTTCAAGTCCACAGCTCACATCCATTTGACTGCGGGTCAAAAATAGGTACCCAAAATAGAACCCGTGTAAGAGGAAACATGGACTACAAGCTGCGGTCCCCTGGTGGTTTAATTTTGACCCAAGCCATTTGACATAGAATCGTCGCATCTTCCGCTTCGGAGTTCAATCAGCTTTCAAGCTTGGAGTGCTGTTTCACGGGAAGAGGGTTTGTGGTTCCTCTGATTTCGCATTGCTCTACATTTGTGTTCCCATTATATGCCATGGCTTTGCCTCAACATGACACTACAAATCTTCGAAACCTACAGTCTGTAAACCTTTCCTATGACGAGCCGATCACATCACTCCCAAGAAACGGTTGCTGTTGCAGACTGGTCGCCACGATTTCAGAGATCAACCAAAGTTCATGATCAATGTAGCTGCTAACCAAAGGCAGACACATGTCGGGCAAGAATCATGTTCAGCTAAGTATACTTCAAACACGATACGCTGACCCAACACCTGGGAACATGACAACACCTTGTCGACCCACCAGCTGAGACCAACCCCGTAGCTTTTCGACGCATGCAACAGCCCCCAAGTCCCAGCCGGATGCGCCAGCCGGAAGACCAGGCCGAGCCAAGTAAAACCGGACCCAGAGGTGAGTTTGCGAACTTCTCCAAACGTTCACTTCGCGGAACCCGAAACAAAACGCCCGGGTCGATTCATGAAGTCTTTGAGTAGTTAAACAGAGAGATGTGGTCGATTCACAGTGGTATCTGCCAAAACAGGGGAAGCCACATGGTGGTATGTTTTCCACTTTAGTTTCCCTTTCAGGCCCGAAATGGGCCCCAAGCCCCTCAAAAAAACAAAAAAAAAACAAAAAGCACGCTCCCAAAGAAAAACCCGCCCCGCAGAAGAAAAAAAATGGGGGAAAAAGCGCCCCTCCCTGCAGGCCCAGCAGCGCTTTCTCTAGGGCCGCCAGCAGGTCCCTTCAGAGTCGATCGATCGATCGACCACCCCGGCAAAAATTGTGTGCCTGCTGCGCAGGACTTTTTGTATGATGCTTTTTGGGAAGACGAGTGGGTGCGCCTCTTTTTTAAAGTGTACCTTTTTCTTGCTGGTGCTCAGGCAACGTGGCAATGAACCCAAGGGTTTTCTTGAAGGAAAGCACCACTTGGATGGCTGAAATGGGGGTCATTCCCTCATTCCCTGCTAAGCACCGGCAAGAACTGTCAGATCTTCAGCCCAAAACTGGCGATCGGTGCGAGAGATGCGTTGGGACCCTGAGAAATGGTTTATGACAAGAAAAACCCGCCCCAACTGGTGGTTTTCTTTGTTCGGTCACCAAAGCCTGGGTTCATTTCCTCATTCCCTACTGAGCACCAGCAAGAAAAGGGAGGTTTTCCCCGAAAAGAGTTCCTCTCAAATGCTGATTTTGCTACGTTTCCATGAAGAAAAATGCCGGAGAGCAAACCACCAAACTGTAGAAAAATATCCTGGTGTTTGGTCTTCGATTGAACCATGGAAGATGTGGACCAGTGGGCCAGATCGTAGCACTCGTTTCCCATTGAGATCTTTTTCGGCCAATCCACCGGTGATAGGCTGGTATAGCAGGTACACGCCAACTCCTTCGGATTGAATGAAACAAAGGCTGACTGTATAAATGCATGTGTGAACCCATGATCATTTGGGACCCCTCCAGCCTTGATTTTCCATATTCATACGAGGGGTTCATATATGGACATATACATTCAGCCGTCGAATGATCGAATGAACTTTCAGTAGGGAATGTGGCAATGAACCCAGGCTTTGGTCCCCGCATAAAGGAAACCACCAAAGATGAGGCTGGTTTTTCTTGGGGTCATAAACCATTACCCTCATTCCCTGCATCTTAACCGCAAGCTATGGCTCAAAATGACTTGGGAAATCACTCCCAAAGGGTCCAACATGGCCATGGGTTCATATACGGATCTATACAATCAGCCTTCGAACTTGCTGGTGCTCAGGGAATGCGGGAATGGTTAAAATGGGTGTCGTTCCATTTATTTATTTCTCATTCCCTGCCCATCGCACCAACAAGATAAGGGCTCCCCCCACATGACCTTCGTTGATCATGCCCCAAGATGAGCTTATTCCCTGCATCTCTCGCACCGATCGCAAGTGAATGAAACAAAGAGTCCGGCGCCTTTGGGTCTTCTGGTGCGCCAGCAGCTTCTGCCGCACCTCCCTCAGCTCCTCATCCACCTCGTGCACCGTCAGCACCTCAGGCATGGAGCTAGCGGCTGGAAAACGGGGGGGGATGGAGGGGAGGGAGGGGGGGGAGGGGGGGATGAGGAGCTTCCGAGGCAAGGGGGCATCATAAGGAGGCTCAGGTTGTGGTACTCCAAGTGTGTGTGTGTGCGTGCATGTGTTTGTCTATGTTAATGTCAAATTCTGTGTTTATGTGCTAAAGGTGGGTCTTCGCGAATCCGTTTGTGGCATCAGCTTGTCGGTGTGACAGCAGGCAGCCTAGGGCTAGCAATATGCATTAGCTGTTGGGGCAACCCACCCCAATGCAAACTGTGCTGAATTCAAATACCCCAGAGGGGCTCCTTGAATTTTGACGCGTCAAACATGGCAGTCCTGGAAGGCTTGGGAACAGAGAGCATGAGTCTGGTGCATCAGATGTAAGTCAAGGGCCAAAACGATGCCATGACCTGCATGAAGTCGGACTGCCCTGCAAAAGTGGGGATGCCTCACATTGGTTGCTGTTGACCCCTCTGCAATAAGTTTAACTTTGTGTGGGGCCAAAATCCCCTGGTTCCCTTCAAGAAAGAGTCCAACCCAAGAGCCATAAAGTCAAAGGGACGGCTGTTCGAACCAATGTATTCAGAATTGGGCTGACCGTTTTCAGGATGTTACCCAGCCGTCGGGGGTGCCTCAAATTATTGGAACGACCCAGACTCATCCAAAGCAGAAACATCTGAGTGTTCGACCCCAATCTGGCAACCTTCCCGATTCACGACAAAACTATTTTGAATAACCCCCTCCATTGCGACACTTAGGATCTAGTTTGCAGCCATATTATTTTGTCGGCATGTGTGTGTGTGTGTTTCCTCTTCAAAGGGTTTTTTTGTTGGAAACCAATACAAGGAAGAAAAAACACACAAACATACCCTAGATTTCCGATACCCCAAACCCTTCTTTTTTGTGGAACGTCCACTGGGTCCCTCCAAACCGAAAATTTGACCATCTCCTTGGTTGGTCCTCCTCGAATGGCCTCTCCTGGCCACAAGCATGCCCACAAGGCTTGCGGCGCACACGGCTTGTTTGTACTACAATACACGTCCTTTTAGGGGAAATAGACGGCCCTGGTAGATGATCAAACCACTAGGTAAACCAGAAATCGCCATCTATTTTTCTGCCAAAACAACCAAGAAGGACACCTATGCTTGCTACTCGCATGGGATGTTCGGTTGACTTGCTTCATGCCCATACGTGGCCTAAACTGGGGAGACAAAGGATGGGAAGCTTCCCCGACAAATGGGCCATCAAATCTACCTCCACCAGTAAAACGAAGCCCTTTGTTCATTTCATTGCCCCAAACTCACCCATCAACACATAAAATCTGGAACCAGTAAGGACCCCATTGACCCCATCTATCCATTTCATGCCTACGGCTTCCAGCAAAGGACCACCTAAAACCCGTCAACCTGCACCTACGCCCGGCTGGCCATCGAGCGCGCGCCTGGACGTTCCCGGAGACGCAGGAGACCCAGCCCTCCATGGGCTCCACGATGCGCGCCCGCACCCCCCGCACCTCCTGATTCAGACCGATGCGATGCGGTGAATAGGAACCTTCCAGGGGAACTCAGGGAACCAGATGGATCTGTCTTCTTCTTTGAGGGGACTCTTCTTTGGGTTGCTTTGAAGGGGAAGCAAGAGGAAAGCCACTTGTTTTTTGGGGCAGGGCCCGCAGCGCATGCACGCTACGCAGAGGGGAAGATGGGAACCCGTCTTCCTGTGCCAATAATTCCAAGCTATACACATTACCTAAGGGAAACTCATCTTAAAAGGGTGATGAAATCACTAAAGCGGAAATATAGGTCGTAAGCCCAGCAGACGACTCGAGCAAAAAACACTGAAGCACAGCTCCGTTTACATCCAAATGGAAACCCCTTAGCAGCAAAGCAGCAAAAATGGGCCCTCTTTGGGTTGCTTGAAACAAAATCTCAAACCTGCAAAAATCGACCTGGGTGAAAACTCTAAACACATTGCAACACACACACACACGCACGAAAAACGACAACGCGAACAAATCATCGCTCCCTGCGCCTAGCGCCGGCCCTACATCACCCAACTCAAAGGAAGCACATTTCAAAATTGGCAGTCAGGTAAAGAATCAAGTTCTAAAGTACGCTAACCAAAAGGTGGATGTTTACAACCATCTTTTGAGGAGCAAAATAGGAAGAAATGCCTAGAAGCAGGGTTACATTTTGATGAATCCGAGGTAGACAAAGAAAAGAGGTTCCGTCTGGGGACATCAAGCAGTGGGTTTTAGCACATCTACCCTGGGGGTCGCCAAACGGTAAGCCTGGCCCTAACACAAAAGTCGGACTGCCAACAACAACGGAACCTCCTGCCCAAGCCGAACCAAACAAAAACAACATCGACCATTGGCTCCAAAATGGGTCCCCCCCCCCAAACAAACCTCGAAAAACCACAAACCTTGGGATCGCTCCCCACACCTAAGAAAGGTCCCCCTCCCCCCCCTAGCCGAAAAAGAAAGAGGATTCCCCGCTCCCCTCATACAGTAACCCAAAAAACGAAGCAAAAAAGGATCCACCCCCGCCCAAACCCCCAAACCAAAAAGAAATCAAAAACAAAAACACAAAATACCAAAAAACACATACCAAAACAAACAAAACAGGGGAGTCGACATTTCTCTCCTGCACGTAGAGCCGGGTATTGGCCTCCAGGATGCCCAGCTGCTTGGACTCCTTCGAAGCCTCGCGCGGCCGCGGGTTTTTTCGGCGTGTCCGGTTTTTTAGCGCATCCGGCAGACCTTCCCTTTGAAGCAACGTTACAAAAAAAAAAAAAAAAGTTCCCTTTTTCCACCCCCCCCCCCCCCCCCCCCCCCCCCCCCCCCCGTTTTCCCGTTTTCCCGTTTTCCAGCCCCCAGCTAGCTCCATGAGTGAGGTGCTGACGGTGCACGAGGTGGACGAGGAGCTGAGGGAGGTCCGGCACTAGGCAAATCATTCACTTGCGATCGGTGCGAGAGATTCAGGGAACGAGAAATGGAATGACCCCCATTTAAACCATCCAACTGGTGGTTTCCTTCAAGAAAACCCTCGGGTTCATTCCCTCATTCCCTGAGCACCAGCAAGGAAAAGGTACTTTGAAAAAGAGACCCAAAAAGCATCATACAAAAAAGTCCATGAACTCAGGGAGTAAAGTGTTTCTTCAGGCTGCGCACAATCCGGTTCCTCTGCCTCCCCGAAAAGGTACCAATCACATGACCAGCCGCCATTGGAAGAGGACCAAAGGCACATGGCTTGCCACGGCGGAGTTTGGTGGCAACCAAAAAGGCGCCCCCTTGCGTGATGCTTCGTTGTCCATAGCCACCACTTTCCCTGAAGGATGATATGCTAGACAACTTCCACGTACCGGTGAAGTTGCCAATACTTGATGACTCTCTAACGATCAAAGTTCAGTGTCAGTTTCTCCGGATATCATCAACTCTTCCTGCTGGGGATTCCCTGGGATGCAACTAGTAAACCGTATCTTGCTCCAGCCGGAGCTGGACGTCTCGAATTATCTTTCATGTTGACCCAGGATTAATAAACCCGTCCCATCATTAGGGGGGTGTTCCCTCCAAAAGTGGTCTGAATCCCCACTAAAAGGGGACACCCCCCAATCAAAGTAAACCAGGGGTTTATTCATCCGGGGTCAACATTATTGGTTCAGTTGATTGTAAGCGACAGAGCAATATCCAAGTTGGTATGCCACGGTATGGCATTTAATTGGGGACCCTTTGGTCATCATCCTGGGAATCTGCCAACCACCATTTTCCGGGGTGTACCAAAACGACTTTCGGAAGTGAACTGATTACATGTTGAGGGGCCCTCAAAATCACTTTCGGTTGTGTCCCTTCCAACCGCCCAACTCATTTTCACCGTCAGATTCCCCCCGCTTCCCCGCTTCCCCGCTTCCCGATCCGCGCCTCTTCACGGACGATCACCGGCACTGTGGCGGAGACCCAGCCGGGGTGAATCTCCTCCATGTCGGGCGGGAAGCTTGGGCCTGATCAGCTCGAGGGCCCAGACGCAGGAAAAAAAATATCGGCGCTTTGACCGGGGACTGCGACACCCCCTGGCAGGTTTCCCACCAAGGTAGCCAACATGGGTTTGGCGTTTTTCCTAGCCCAGTCTTGGTGGTTTTACAGGGAAACCAAAAGGAAAGCCGCAATTCTGGAGGGTGCCCGCCTTCCCGAGGCTTGGCGCTGCGCGCGGAAAACGTGCGAACCCCGCAGAGCGGAAAAAAACAACCAAATGTGCGGAAAAACAAAGCACAGTCTCTGCAGAAAAAACGGCCCCTCCTGAAAGGGGATCCGCTTTTCGAGCTGGAATCCGGCAATCCAGCTCGAAAAGCGGATCCCCAGCCAATCCGTCCTGAAAGGGGGCC